ATTTGTAAAGTCTTTAGTAGTATGACCCAGGAATATGTGCTTGGAGCTATGCTGTTTGTCATTTTTACTTAGTGGCATAGTTAGATGGTGTTGTTATCAGATTTGCAGATGACACAAAACTGGGAGGGACAGCTAATATACTGGATGACAGCCAGGATCCAAAAATGTCTTAACAGGTTATAATATTGGGCTAAATACGGAGCTGTGCTAGAGTCATCTTGAACTAGCTTGGAAGAGCTGATTGTTAAATTTTCAGTGTGAGCACTTACACCTCAGAAATTGGCAGACAGTATAAATCATGGCTTGAATGATTGTTCTTTTGATTGTCTAGATTTCAGTGATGCAGAAAATGTTAATATGAGATTAAATTTTAAAATGTGTCTTGAATATACTTCTCTTGAAGAGTCAGTTGTTAAACATCTGCCAGTATGTCATTAACTAAATCTAATAAAGAAAATGTTATAAGGATAAATATGATTTCTTTTTTTAAAATAAATTTATTTTTAGTTTTCAACATTCACTTCCCTAAGATTTTGAGCTCCAAATTTTTTCCCCATCTCTCACCTGCCCCCCAAGACAACATGTAAATTAATATAGGCTCAACATATACATTCATGATAAATATAATTTCTTAAACTTAGGTTCAAAGGAACTATTTCATAAGAAGATGGAGGAGGCATGGTTAGATAGTTTTTCTGAAAGAGATCTTGAGGGTTTTAATGATTGACTTAGAATAAGTCACTTTGAATCAACATTATGGTAAGTTAGCGAAAAGGTAATGAGATCTTAGGCCACATCAAGAGAAGCATAACTTCTGGGAATGAGCAGGCATTAGCTCATTGGTCCTCAGCTCTGGTCTAGGTATTGTGTTCAGTTCTGGGTATTATAGTTTAGGAATGGCATTATTGAGATGGAGGGCCTCTAGAGGAAGGTAATCAGAATGCTGAAAGGACCTCTCGTCTGTTCCGTATGAGAAGCAATTGAAGTAACTGAGAATGTTTAGCCTGAGAAGAAAAGACTTGGAGGACTAAGGAGAGAGCAGGATGAGACTTGACAGCTGTCTTTAACATCATGTGGAAGAGGGATTGGACTTTTTTTTTTTTTGGCCTTGTAGGGCAGAAGTAAGAACAATGGATGGACATCATAAAAAGAGGCAAATTTAGACTTGATGTCAGAAAAATTTCCTAATAATTAGAGCTATCTAAAAATGAAATGGACTGCCTCGGGAGGTAGTTTTTTCATCACAATGAAAGGTCTTCAGACAGTGGTTGACTGACCAATTCTTGGGTATGTTACAGTACCTATTCTTTTTCAGGTATGGCTTAGACTGTATGGCCACTGAAGTTTCGTCTAACCCTTAAAACTCTGTGATTCATTTCTTATCTCCACATTCAATAAATAAAAAATAAAGTTAAATAAAATTATCTGATTAGTGAACTGTCATGATTTAGATATGGATAGGAGGCACAATAATAAGTAGTGTTGGAACTAGAGTTAGGAAAATCAGAGTTCGAATCCTGCGTTAGACAGTCCTGTGAACCTGCACAAGCTACTTAATTAACCTAAGTCTCAGTTTTCGCATCTATAATGTGGATTTAATAATAGCACCTACGTCACAGGATTATTGTGAAGATACATGTATACTATATAGATATAGATACAAATAAAATCTTTACAAACCTTAAAAGTCTAAATGAATGTCAACTATCACTGTATAGAAATGTGCCTAATCTAGAGAATTGTCTTATCAACTTTCCATTTCATGGGAGGGGGCTGAATAGACAGTTTTCTTTATAAATTAGAAACTCTTCAGCATGCCTATAATTTTCTGATAGACTGTTAAACATCTTGTATGTATAAGGCTTTGTGGGGAATGTACAAGAAGCATGTATATCAGGCATGATGCCAGCCCTCAAGAACTTTATGGTTTATTTCATAGGATCACAGATTTAGAGCTGGAAGGGACCATAGAGACCATCTAATACATCCCCCTCATCTTGTAGATGAGGAAACTGAGACCTAGGGAGGTTAGATTAGTTGACTTGCCTAAGGTCACACAGGTAATAAATAATAGGCTTTGAATCCAAGTTTTCTTATTCCAAAGCTAGTGCCAACACAGCTAAAATAGATAGTAATCAATGATATCACATAATTGCCAAATGGATGATAGGCAACAGGGAAAGTGAGATGAGAGTCTGCAGTAAGTCAGGCATATTTAGGAGAGATGCTGATTAACTTTCTCCCTCTAAAAAGAGTTGAAGTTTGCTAACTAAAATGTCTCAGGTTAATTAGAGGGAAAGTAAAGGAATTCATGTTGTATCTGTCTTACACAGTTATAGAAAGTGTTACAAAGTTAGGGTCTATTCAGCATGAACTCATTTTAGCATTTATCCATTCATTATCTACCATATGTAAGACTTTAAATGTTAAGTGGGGGAAATATAAAGATGAATCAGGCATGGTCCTGGCCTTCATGTAGTTTATAGTTAGTTTAGTAAGGTGAGATGAGATATGGAAGCCTTTGTTCAGGGTCATTTCTCTTAGGTATTGTTTCTAACCAGAGCAACCATTCTGACTACTGTTACTTTATAATATGGAAAACATTTTAACATCTATTTTTGTACTTGTATTCCATATTATAGGAGATAATGTAGCAGAATCATAGCAGAAAATGGACAGTCAATATAGTATGACTAAGAAAAGTTATCAACAGCTTACTTTTGTCACTAATATTGGCTTTTTAAAATTAATCAAATCTTTCTGCGTAGTATACACAAAAGAAAATCTTGAGTTATTCTGTAATATGTACTCTGCAAACAAAGTTCCTTGCATACATAGTACTACATATTTGATGAATTTAATTAAATTAGATGAAAGTAGTGGTGCTGTCAAAGGGGGCATGGATTTCTTATAGACTATATAAAAGGTAGACATTTTTATTCCAACAGAATGATTGCTAGACTTGGAGTCAGAGTACCAGGCCTCAAATCCCAGATTATATATTTACTACCTGAGTGACCTTGGGGGGGAAAAATCACTTAAAGAAACTTGGTTCCTTTATCTCTAAGAGTTGGATGAAATGACCACATATATACATACGTCCATACATATGTATGTGTGTCTGTATACACACACACACACACACACACACACACACACACACATATAAATTTTGTCTCATTTCTCCACCATGTCTTCCATTGGCTTTATAGCCAATATATATATGCTGTCGTAGTGGGATTAATTAGATATTTCTGAGAAATACAATGAATTCCCCATTTTAAAAATAAAAATTATTTTCATTAGGTTTTTTATAGTGTACCTTCAACATACTAAACAAAACATGTTTCAGATATAGACAAGTAGAAGAATGAGCAAAATGTACTGTAGTTATTCTGGAATGGTAAGCAGAGCCTTTGGTTAGTAATGGACTAGAAATGAGCTAATTCTTCACTGATCGTAATACAATTATTAATTCTGATAAAAATGAAATTTAGTAGAGATGGAGCACAGACTCACTTCCCTCTTCAGAGATCTGAAAATATAATCTTTATTAAGACGATATATATCAGTGGATACAGTGCTGGGCCTGGAATCAGGAAGACTCATCTTCCTGAGTTCAAATCTGACCTTAGACACTTACCAGCTGTGTGATACTGGACAAGTCACTTAACTCTATTTGCCTTAGTTTCTTCATCTGTAAAATGAGTTAGAGAAGGAAATGGCAAAGCACTCTAGTATCTCTGCCAAGAAAACCCCCAAATGGGGTCACAAAGAGTCAGACACAACTGAACAACAACAACAGATATAATGTTCATGAACTTAAGGTGACTTTTCTATGTAGTTTTAGCTTTTTATTCATGTTTTTAAATTGTTGAAGCTTTTTAAATACCTCTCATTAGGATTGGTGAATTAATTTTGGTTATATTTAAAAAGCCCTACAGTGTTGCAAGTTACTCATGATTTCATTACTGTGGGCATTCCCTCACCAATAAGATGCCAATCCTTTCACACACTGTAAATACTTTTATGAATTACCATGGTCAAAAAGGTGTGTCACCTGATAGACAAGATAACTAGGTTTACAGATGAAAGCTCTATCTATACCTTAGTTTGTCATCAGACCTCTACTTAAAGTTTTTTCAACCAGGTAAGAGTTTTCTGCTCTTTTGACATTTGCTATAAAAGGTTTTATCCTGATCACTCCAGTTGTTACTTCTTTTTCCACCCCACACCTCAAATTATTTTGCATATAGTTTTCATTCAAGAGGAAGTTGGCTGAGTAGGGAGAGAGTTGACCTTCAAGTAAGAAAGACCGGGGTTCATTCAAATCCTGCTTGTGACACATAACTAGCTGTGTGATTGTGGGCAAGTTACCCTCTCAGTGCCCCCAATAAATTTGGTAACACTAGAAGTTATAGAGAAATACCAACATTGGTTTTTACACTAGAACTTCCGTAGACTATTAAAACCACAGCTCCAGACCAGAAAAAATTATCTTTACTTACCTATGTGTGTATGATTTTTTTCCCCTAGTAAAGGTTAGTAAGTTCTTTAAGGGCAGGGACAGTTTTGTTTTTGTGCCTGGTATGGGGCCTTGCACTTATTGAATGCTTAATGAATTATATTGCACTTCCCTGCTGTGTAGTCTTCAAGCATACAGTGGCTAGCTCCTTGCCATAGTTAGGCATCAGAAAATCACTTTAAAAGTTGTCTGCTATTATATTATTTTTGTATTCTATATTTCATCGTGTATTTTTAGGTCTTAATTTTAAAAGTGACTCTATTTTTATAATGTTGGGTGTCAGAAAATTTTCAAAACTATTCTTAATTTATCAAAGTGCATTTAAAAAAACCCCAAATATGTAGTCATTGATTATTACCTTAATTTTGTATCAGGTTAATCATATTGGTTTAAACTGAAATAAAATTTTGTATGAACCTTGACATGCTCATTAGTATTTTTCATTGTATGATTTGCTCATTTCCTTTCCCTATAGAAGTATATTGCTACTGGAGAATTGGGGAAAGCTACTGATACACTGGATTCAACAGGGAAAATTACAGAAGAAAAACCTTATGGTAGGAAGTAAGCTTTATATTTTACTTATATTAAACCTTTATATTACATTTACTTAGATTTTACTCAATATTTCGTTTTAACAAGTAGAAGAGAAATGGAGGCTGCTCTGAGCTGTTTTAAATTTAAAACCAATCTTAATAAGTGATTTCAATTTTCCAAACAATTTACATAAATGAAAGAAGATCAAAATTAGCGGATTAGTGGATCTGTTTGTTACCTTTTAGATTGCTATTTTCTTGAGAACAGAGAAGCATGTATTTTTATCTCCTTCAGCACTTAGCTCAGTGCCTTGTATTTAATAATCAAATGTAATAACACATAAAGATCTTTGTAAACCTTGTGCTACATAAATTTCAGCTATTGTTAATAATAAATTTAGGCCCTTAATAAATATTTTAATGAATGAACGCATGGATTGGATTATATTCATTAACATTTTTCATTAAAATTGCTTCATTTGAAACAAATCCTGAGGGAGACCATTTCAAAATGACTCCTTTACTTTCCCTTCTTCCTTCATTCCAACTTCCTACCCAAATCCTTGTAATTACAATTTTGAACTTTTTTTCATTTTTTACCTATGTTACAATCTGTTTTACAGATTACTCTGTACTATTTAAATAAGCAAGCCCATTAATTTTTGTATATAGGGTCACTGTTTTAAAACTAATTCTTTCCTCTTGTTATTGGAACATGTAAACATGGCAGAGAAAAAGAGTATTTTCTCTTGGAAGTAAAATAGAACTAATTGGGGCCCATCTTAATTTATCTACCATCCCTTTTTTTCACTACTCTAAAAGAAAGATAAATGAAATGGTCTCCTAGCAACCTTCACAGTGCACATTCTATTTATAACAACAGTAGGTTTATACAGTAAGTTCACCCCTATTATTCTGTCACAAAGTGTGAATTATTTGTATGGTTTCTGTTTTTTTTAAACTCTTGCCTGTGGTTGATATTTTTCCCACTTGACTCAGTTGCAGGAGATGAATGCTCATCTAGTCTTCCTGTGTTCTTGTGTTGAGTTACACCATTGTCCTGGTAGGAAAGAGTTTAAGGTAGCTGCTGGAACTCATTTACCTTCCTAGCTGTTACAACTTCAGCTCTGCAGTTTCTTTTGTACCTTGTTTGATCAATCAGCAAAATTTAAAATGCACTTATGTGTTCTTAGGCTTTCTTTTAAAGCAGAGCTTTTGAATTATATTGCAATTCAAGTATTTTAAAAGTTATTTTGTACATATATTTTGAAAATATGATAAAGTTTCAATTAATTGAAATCCAATTAGAAATCTTTTTTTTTCCCCAGGTAGGAAGGGTGAATGCCGTGTAAATATACTCATCTCAAGAATTTAATAAAAATAAAATTAATTTCCTACTATGCTCTGCTTCCATGAACATTCAACACAGTCTCCTTCATGTACATCTATAGTACTATAGTGAGAATTGATATACAGATACTTATTGTTGTGATCCTAAAGCACTATAGCCTATGCTTTACTTAGATGATAATAACACTAATATTTATTTGAAAGATTTTCGTAAGGGTTCAGACAAAAAGTAAAATCAATTCTCAGTTACCTAGAATATTTAATTCACTTGTCCATATCACTAAAATTTTTTATTGTAATTTGTATTTATGTAACAAGGTTTATATTAGGTAGTAGTGGGCCATAACTTTAGTATACTTAAAGAGTGGCCACAATATGCTAGACTTTGAATAGAAGGCTAATAATATTGGGATTGATGCAACGTTGAAGGTTTCTGAACACATGTTTCTGATAACCTATAATAGGCTACTTAAAAGTTCCCATTAATTGGGTTATTCTTTGATTTTGTGTTTCACATGTAAAGGTTTTGTCATAACAGCTTCCAACATGCATTTTTTTTCTTGTCACCTTGACTGGTTAATGAATCATTGCAGGGTTATCATTAATGACACTTCTTTAAACAGCTGCTGGACATTATGATAAGCATTTGCCATCTGTGTTTTAGAAATATTCATTTGGTAGGTAATCAATAGTAATTGTGATCGATGTTGTAGTGGAGATAAAATTTTTCTTCATGAAGTAAATTTTCTTGTATACCGTGAGATGTCAGAGAAGAATTGAATCAAGAGAAGGAACACTTAAAGAACATAGAATAAAGCCTGCTAAATAAAAGTTTATTCCTAGTGAAAGTTGCCTTTTTATGATGGTGATTTGAAACTATTTCCTTTTTTTGTTTTTATTTTTGAGATTGGGTCTCCCTATCTTGCTTAGGCTGGAAGATTTAACCTGTTCCATTTTTAAAATTTGGGTTTGTTTGTTCAGGCTTGGGCAGCCTAACGGCCCTATACTTCCATGGGCTCACCATATTTGTCTAGACTTAGTGTGGCCACCTAATTGATTTTAGCCGTACTACAACTCAGAGCTCACAAATTCAAGTGATCTACCATCCTTGGTCTCCCCTAGTAGAAGAGATTATAAACAAACAACTATTTTGAAGCACTTGAATATTGCCAGAGTACTTGGTCTTAGTATTTCCTGTACTTCGAATTTTTTCTGTTCCTGTTTGAATTTAGTAAACTTTAGCTACCTATTTCTGTGTAGCTTTCAAGAATTGAGGTCGGAGAAGAGAGCACTGGCTCTGAAGTCAGGAGTGCCTGAGTTCAAATCCGGCCTCAGACCAAACACTTGACACTTACTAGCTGTGTGACCCTGGGCAAGTCACTTAACCCCAATTGCCTAAAAAAAAAAGGAGGTCGAACTAAGGTCAGTGTTGCTTGCTATGTTAATATTAAACTTTGAGGATGGGTCATCTTGTTTTTCTTTTTTTTTAAATTTGATCAGTCTGTGGAGCCCTTGGCACGAGAAAGGCTTGTATACAACTTAAATAGAGATTAATCATGGGATTTTTGTTCGCTATTTGCCATATAAGATCTCTTGTAACAAATCTATAGTAGAATAAAAATTATTAAGATATAATTCCCAAAAAGAGGAAGAAAAAGTAGGAAAGGAGACTAGTGGGAGTATTGTAAACATGTGATGCTGCTGACTGTGCCCACAAATTACATAACTTTTCTGTAATTTAGATTGCTTATCAATATTTGGGAACTAGTTCAAAATCCTCAGATCTCAGCAGTTATGAAAATCTCCAAAAGTAGTAACAGTAACTATTGAATTAAAGTTTATATTGAACTTTTGAAGCCCTTTAGTGACAGAAATATAATGTGTGTACTATTGTATATGAAAAAGGATGGAACCAAAAAGAACTGAACACAAATGTCAAAAGTTGTATGTTCTCTGTCTCCAAGTGTAAATTACCTAGTGACTACATTCCTCTCCCTGGTTCCCCACCAGATAGATTTTTTGTTTCAAGGTGATTTGGAGATGGTGAGCTAAAAGTCAGGAAGAAGGAAGGACAAAGATGTCTGCTTGTTCATATAAACAAAACTAAATCTAAGAATAAGTTTATGCCATTTTAGTAGTTTTCTGAATTTGGCAGGTGACAAGGTAGGGTAGAGCATAATCCTCATTGAGACATTAAAATATTTGGCCCCTAACACATTGCCTGATATATGTTGCAGTGTGTTTATCTTTTATATTTTCTAAGATATTGATCACTGCAGGACAAATTGCAGGATTTTTTTTTCATATCTTCCCAAACCCTTAGTAAAAACTGATGAAACACATAGAAGGTCATTGGCCTATTTTTTCCCATGGAAATTAGGACAAAAAAAATCTAATCTTTAAAAAAGATTTTTTTCCCCCATTTTTTCCCCCTTTCCCCCCCCCATTTCTCACAGCAGTATTTATTTTGCTATTTCATGTTTCTAGAAACAAGATATTGGTAGGTAATGTGTACATCATGGTGCAGCTTTAAAAAATAAAGTGAATACATTTTTAGAGCTTTGTCAGCATTATGAAATTTACATATATGTTTCTTTTGTCATGTGTAGGTAGAGTCAATATTTGTTTTCTTTCACATTTGGCAGATCAGATAAAGCAAGAAGATATTGAAGGTATTCTCCAGAAATTTACAGGAAACATAATGCAAGTACCTCCTCTGTAAGTTAATATTAATAATAGTAAACTTTTAATGTTTTCCACAGTAAAAAAAGTCATTTAAGTTCCTTTTATATATAATATGGTATCAGCAAAACATCCATTAAATATGATAGTGAATGATCAGATGCATATGATTAATTTAGACAAGATCCTGTGAACATTTTAATAATTTCTAAGAAATGCTGTCATATCATAGAGAACACAGGAAGTGGTCTATCATCCAGGCCTGAGTGTCAACATAGCATGTTATGTGAGTGAACACTAAGCTTTGAGATTATATTTATAATATTTGCTATCACCTAGGCCTCTTTTTCTAACAGCAGATCATATCTTCAGTACAGAGCTGCCTTAGACGTCACTGTTCCTATGTAATCTGGACTGATTCAGGGACATGTGTGAGAGGCATCTGAGAGCCTAATGTGCACTAGAGTGACTGAATAACAGAGTATGGACATTGCTTTCGAGGACTAGCAACTTGCATTTCCTCATTTTTTTTTTTTGGTGAGGCAATTGGGGTTAAATGACTTGCCCAGGGTCACAAGCTAGTAAGTGTCAAGTGTCTGAGGCCAGATTTGAACTCAGGTTCTCCTGACTCCAAGGCCAGAACTTTATCCACTGCACCACCTAGGTGCCCCTCATTTCCTCATATTGCTAAGGCAAAAAAGACCAAGAATGTGTCTTCTGGCAGGCACAGATAATGTTTCTATATTTGTTAAATATAGTCTCTGAGTACATGGACATTCAGGGATGAGATTGAATGGACACTGATTAATTATTATGTTTACTAACATTTGTTTGAGTATACTACTTGTGTTGGCTAGTTTTCAGAAGGACAATTGAATCCCTGTGAAAAGTATTCTAAATGATTTAAAAGAATATCTACGTGATTAAATTCACAATAACTTACAGTATTTTATTTCATTTGGGTCATTAAAAGGTGTTTATAAGTAACAAAATAAAAATATACCCAAACAAAGTTTAGTCCTGAAAGAGACACTGATTAAATTAGTTTTCCTTATTTGGAGGGAAAGAATATTATAACTTGCTATACTGTAATGTTTGGAGTGACGTTTGACTTGAAAAGTAGTAAATGTTGGCTGATATATAAATGACTTTAACAGATAGGAGCAATGTGAATTGTACTTTGGACCCAATAATTAAATATTTATTTTTTGAATTTACTGAAGTCTGTTTTTAGTATCTTCTTTATAGTAGTTGCTTCCAGGCTTTCCTGTTCTAATCATAAAGCTTGACCACACAATGAGATTTCTTAAGTGAATCATTTAACATTCAGCCAGAAATCTTAAAACATGAAAACTTCTTCCACATGAAAATGAAGCACTTTCATTATTTGAGAAGTCATGAATAATTACATCATTGTTTTAGTAAATTTTGGGCACGGTTCCCTGAGAAATCTTACCTTGTTCTTTCACCCTAGTCCACCCTATTCTTCATTTCATTCTACAGAATTCTGAAGTTTGGGGTAATGGTGCTAGGGACCACAGAGAACTGGACCAAATCCACCAGAGAATTCACTGAAGATTGGAAGGGCACCATTGCTCAGTAAATGCCAGTATAAGATATATTTGTTTCAAAGATGTTTAAGGAATTGTCATTATCTCTGATACCATCGTGACGCAAAAAATATTAATCCATTTTACCAAAAGTGAAATTTAAATTTGACAGGGTGGAATGATTTGCTTCAGTTAGTGATAGATTTAATTCAGGGCAATCAGTTATTTGTGTACTACATTAATATCTGATGAGATTTTTTTTCAACCTTTGTTAGCTATTCTGCTTTAAAGAAAGATGGACAGAGACTTTCTACTTTGATGAAGAAAGGTGAAGTAGTAGAGGCGAAACCTGCCAGACCAGTCACAGTGTATAGCCTCTCCCTTCAAAAATTCCAGCCACCTTTATTTACATTAGGTAAGGGAAGAAGTTTAAAATGCTAATGATTCAATTTTCATGCATTTTATTTTATTGTTTAGATGCAATTCAAAGTGATCCATGGAATACAATGAAGATTTATGTGTGTGTGATTATTAGACAATTTTTCTTAGGCAAAAATTTCCTAATTTCTTTGCTTTCTTTGTAACACAGTTTAGGAGGTGGCCACAATGATGTGGGACCTTAAAAATACTTTTCCTATTTAAATAGGCTGTGATTTTCATTTATCAAACTATCAATATATAAAGTTATTTTAAGATAACAATATTTTATAACCCTTTCCTCTTTTTGCTTGTACCAACTAGCTCCTCACCAAGTGTTAGACTTAATTGGTGTGAAATTTCTTTTGGGGGCAAAAGACTTTCTGAGAATGGTATAGTGTAATATTTCCTGGTTTTGGAGTCTGAAAAATTGGGTTTGAATCCTACCTCTGCTACTGTTGTGGGCTGAGAGGTTGAGAGGTTGTGACCCCTCAAAGACCGGAGTACAGGACGGGCCGTCTGGAAGGAATTCACAGACTCAAGCATTCTTTAATTCAAGGTGGCAAAGATTTATTGTTACGCTTTTCAGCGGGCAAGGATTCTTAAAGGATCCTGCAACCTTAGAGGGGTACAGTTTAAGTTTATATAGCATAAAATACAATAAAACATGTGCCCAATATGCTAACTAGGTGAATCAGGGTGGGATGAGGGAGTGGTTAAGGAGAGGTTAGTTCTCAATTGAAACTCAAGATAAGAAAAATCCCATTATTCAAGAGAGTATCTGGTCCCAGACATCCTGGGCCCAGTGATAACAAACAGGAAGAATACTGATCAGCTCTGTCTGGCCCTGGAATTTGCTTGACACAGGAAGAGGTGCTTTTAGTTCACTCAGAGCTTAAATGATTATCAAGGGACAGTGTTTCTGAGGCTAGGGAGAAATTGGGGTCTGATTACAAGCACCCAAACATAAGCACCTAAGCATAAGCACCCAAGCACCCCAACACTACCACACACTAGCCATGTGACCTTTGACACCTCTGGGCTTGAGTTGTCTCATCAGTAAAATAAGGGGATTAAATTAATTGACCTAGAACATGCTTTACTGCTCTGAATCTATGATCCTATATGGTAATTCATCAGAATAAAGATAATTTCTTTCTCCTTGTAACCTAAAACATTTATAATTGAAGATCCTTGGTAATCTGGAAATAAATGGAAAGGAGTATGTCTACTTAGGAAAAATCAGATTTATATTTAGGTTGTGAGTTTCTAGCTTTTCCTTACCATGTTTGCCTCTCCCTGAAAAATAATAATTCATAAAATTCATATAGTCTAGACTAGGGGTGGGGAACCTGCTACCTCGAGGCCACATATGGCCCTCAAGTGCAGCCCCTTGACTGAATCGAAACTTCACAGATGTTACAGATAATTACTTTTTAGCTGTTCCTAAATGGTTTTACTTTTTCAAGTCATATCATACTCAGGTCTACTTCTTTAACCTATTCCCTCACCCTCCTCCCCTCTAGAGATCGGTTCCTTATCCTCTCCTCCCTCCCTATCCCCTTACTGTTTTATTTCTTCTGAATTTAGAAGAATTTGAAACTCTTCTAGATATATACATATTATTCCCTCTTGAACCCATTCCCAATGAAAGTAGGTTACCAGAACTACCAGCTTTCTCTCCCATCGAATTCTTTTGTGTTGATTCTTCTTCTTGCACCTCATTTGTATAAAATAATTACTCTTTTTAGCTCTTCTGAAACAATTTTACTTTTTAAAGTCCTATCATACTTGGGTCTCCCCAAGTTTTTCTTACAAACTACCCAGTTACTCATGACAATCTTAGACATACATTGTTACATTTTACATATGTAAAAGGTAAATGGTCTGCCCTTATTGAATCCCTTGTAGTCAGTCTTTGGTATGTACCTTATGTTTTTCTTGGCTCTTGTATGGCAAATCTTCTGTTAAGTTCAGTTTTTTTTTTTCTTAACAAAGTCCTTGAAAGTCTGACAGTTGATCAAATTTCCATTTTTTTTTTCATTCAGCATTATGCTTAACTTTTCTGGGTGTGATATTTTCGGCTGGAACCATTCTTTTTTTTTCTTTTTTTTTTTTTAATTTATTTATGGTGTATAAATTTATTTTTACCACAAGATTTTGAATTCCATATTTTCACCCCATCTTGCCCCTCCCCCCACCCCAAGATGGCATGCATTCTGAATACCCCTTCCCTTAGTCTACCCTCCCTTCTATCTCTCCTGCCCCTTCTCTTATCCCCTTCCCCTTCTGTTTTCCTGTAGGGCAGGATAGATTTCTGTACCTCATTTCCTATATTTCTTATTTCCCAGTTGCATGTGGAAACATTTTTTTTTAAACATGTGTTTTTAAAACTTTGGGTTCCAAATTTTCTCCCTTCTTCCCACCCCACCCACCCTCATTGAAAAGGCAAGCAAGTCAGTACAGGCCATACATGTGCAGTTATTCAAAACACTTCCAAAGTAGACGTATTGTGAAAAACTAACTCTATTTCCCTTAATCCTATCCTGCCCCCCCCATTTATTCTATTCTTTCTTTTGACCCTGTCCCTCCTCAGAAGTATTTCCTTCTGATTACCCCTTTTGAAATCTGCCCTTCTCTCTATCACCCCCCTGCTCTCTTGTCTCCTTCCTCCCCTATTTTCCTGTAGGGTAAGACAGATTTCTATACCCAATTGAGTGTGTATGTTATTCCCTCCTTAAGCCAAATCCTATGAGAATAAGATTCCCTCATTTCCTCTTACCTTCCTCTGTTTCCCCACCACTGTAAGAACCTTTTCTTGTCTGTTTTGTGCAAGATAATGTACCCCATTCTACTCTCCCTTTCTCTTTCTCCTAGTATAATCCTCTCTCACCCCTTAATTGTTTTCTCCAGATATCACCCCTTCATCTTCAACTCACCCTGTGCCCTCTATCTGTCTATCTATCTATCTATCTATCTATCTATCTATCTATCTATCTATCTATCTATCTGTCTCTGTCTGTCTGTCTATCTATCTATCTATCTATACATACATACATATAATTTTTCCCCTCCCACTACGCTAATACTGACAAAGGTCTCATGAATTATAAATATCATCTTTCCATGCAGGAATGTAAACAGTTCAGCCTTAATAAATCTCTTATGATTTCTCTTTCCTGTTTACCTCTTCATGAGGAACCATTCTTTTGCTCTTCAATATATAATGTTTTAAGACCTGTGGTCCTTTAGTATCTCCACTGCTAGGTCTTGTGTGTTTCTAGATGTGGCACCATCACATTAAAATTTTTTTTCTTGTTGTTCTTAATATTTTATCCTTGAGTTGGGGGTTTTGGAATTTGACTATAATATAGCTATGAGTTTTCCTCATAGGATCTCTTTCAAGTGGAGATTGATGTATTTTTTTCTATTTCTACTTCCCCCCCTTGTTCTAATGCTTCAGAACAGTTTTCTTCAATTATTTGTTATATTATTGTAGCAAGATTTTTTTTATCATAGCTTTCAGGTAGTCTGATTATTCTTATGTTTTCTCTTCTCGATCTGTTCTCCAGTTCGGTTGTTTTTCTTATAAGATGTTTCACTTTCTCTTCTATTTTTTTCATTCTTTATGTTTTGTGTTATTATTTCTTGATCTCTTATAACTTTGCTGGCTTCCCCTTGCCCACTTCTAATTTTTAAGGTGTCATTTTCTTCCTTAAGATTCTGGATTTCCTGTTACAGTTGGTTGACTTTCTTTTCATAATCTTGTTTTTCTTGATTGTTCTTATTTTCTTTTTTTAGTTTTTCCTCAATCTCTCTCATTTGATTTTTAAAATTCTTTTTTAGGCAGATGACCATTTGACATTACTCTTTTGCAATAGAATAGAAGAGGGTTTCTTTGCTTCACCATCCTCCTCTGAGGTCTTATCAGTTTTCTCTATTCCCATAATAACTTTCTATGGTTGGATTCTTTCTCCTTTGATTGTGCTTTTTTTTTTTGTAGCAATAGCTTAAGTTTTGTAATCACCTCTAGTCCTGGGGTATGTTCTTCAAAGTTGGTTTTGGTCAAGGGGCTGCACTTGAGAACCTAGAGGGCCAGATGAGGCCACAGATTCTCCACCCCTGGTCTAAATCTTAGATTTTGGGGGTAGAGTGGGGCGGGGAGAGATAATGTTTATTTTTGTCCAGAGAAATAATCTCATAATCTTCCTGCCTACAGTGAGATTGATGTATGAAACTTGAAATATACTTGATTTTTAAAGAGCCAAGGATTTAGTTAGTCTCTAGCCCCTCTTTAATTTTATTAAGTCAGTTCACAGGGCATATTAGAAAAGATGCCTTAAGAAATATTCTCCTAATTGGGTTATGTTTCTAAATTTCATTTCCTTTTCCATTAGCATTATTTTATAACTTGTGTGCCTACAGGGTGTTGTACTTAACAGTTAGAAATTTCTTTTGTCTTTAAGAAGCTCTGATCATAAATTATTTGAGAAGTACTTAGGTAACACAAAAATGAATAGTTTTAAAAAAATTATTCCATGGAAATGTAATAGCTCTTTGGCTGGAGGAAAAGATATTATCTTTGAAAATAACATATTTGAACATGATTGAAAACCTAGATTTTTTTTGTTACCTGGACTTAAGTTTTAAAGATTTTTGTATAAGAAAGGACATAACCATAGTGGCTGTCTATGAGTACAAATGTGATGTTAAAATTCCATTACCTTTCTTTGGTCTTAAGGATCATTTTTGGTCCTAGGAGTAATAAAGTTAATACTTATGTGGAAATAAATGACGCTTTATGACTTCAGTACATATTAACAATTTATTATAAAATAAAAATATTAAAATCACCCTGTTGTCTTGATTTACTCTTCACATGACTGAAATATTGTGTGGTTAAAACCAGAATGAAAAAGTAGCTTTTGGGCAGCTAGGTGGCACAGTGGATCGAGTACTGGCCCTGGAGTCAGGAGGACCTCAGTTCAAATCCTCAGACAATTGACACTTACTAGCTGTGTGACCCTGGGCAAGTCACTTAACCCTGATTGCCTAGCAAAAACAAAAAAAAGTAACCTTTTCTATTTGAAATGGAGGGATCATTTACAAGAGATGCTCTGTTGATAGATGAAGCTTGTAAGAATAATTGTGAACTCCATACTCAGATACAGATTGACCTATAACCTTCTCTTCAACTTATAAGGCCATCAGTGTTAGTTAAGGAAAAAAAAGTTTTGGTACGTGCTTAATTTGCATGGTTTCTCTGATTTGATTAGTTATTTTATGATTACTTGTTAAACAGTTATCAGCCAGTCACAAAAAAAGAAACTTTAAAAATGTCATTTCTTTAGCTATAGTGTGTTGTCCAGAATTACAACCATGATCATTTGGGAAAAGATCTTGACCTTTCTATAAGTCTGAAATATTTACTTTTAAAAATGCCTACTTTTCAGCACTGCAAAGTGAGATATTTAACCTTTTAAAACCTTTTAAATGAATTAGGCTGCAATATTTATTAAAATGCCATGACTTGCTAGTTAATTTAAAATGTGTTCATTGGGTTGCTTCTGTTTGCTTTCCCAGTACTCTGACTTTGCAATCTCTCACACACATATGCTTCAGGATGAATAATTTATCTTTTATCCCATAAATATTGCATCACTTGATTGTTTGCGTAGTGCATTTTTTACATTTGTTTAGAGGCATCATTTCTATGTAAAGTAGATTTCATGGGGTGTTTGCAATTTACCATGTCACTGTTAACATTCCAGATGTTGAATGTGGAGGAGGTTTTTATATCAGAAGCTTGGTCAGTGACATTGGCAAAGGTAAGGATAGATGAAAAAGAATTACTACTTAGGGAGCTATATTCTTTTTTCAGTATTCAGTTTTTCTACATCTCGTGAGTTACCAGCCCTGTGTTCTGGACTCCCTTGCTTGCTTTCGTGATAGTATTGTTAGGTTTATGGCCTGCAATTTCTAAACATCAGCAGTGGCAGTGAAATGCTTGTGATAAGGAGAGGAAGATAAAAGATGAACAGAAAAGTAAAGAAGGGAATAGAAAATAAAGGGGCAAACAGTTTTTTAATAGTAATTTTCAGTTCATTTTTGTTGCCCAAAATAGATGAAAATCAGTAAAGATTTTGCTTTTTTTTTTTTTAAACAACCCAATATACCTGGGTGAGTTGCACTTAACTGAACCCTTAATGAGTCAGCTGTGGTCCAAAGTGCAAGGCTATAAAATTATCCTTTAAAAAGTTGTTTGGGGGGATGCTTCCATTTTAAAAAAGGTATAAAACCAAAATCTCTTGGACAAGCAGAAATAATATTAATATTCTGGCTTTCTCCGTGGGGGGAGGGGAAGGACTTTTCCCATTGAAAAAGAAAATATTATTATTTTTTTAATCCCAAGTGATTTTGTTGTGTGATTTATTCTTCTGGATTATTCCATTTTTATTTTTAAGTGAGATACATATATATATGAGATTTAAACCTTAATCTTATATAAAACCAATATAAAATGTGAAACAAGAAACCTGTCTTAGGGGTTGTTTTTTCCCCTTTTTCCTGCTGTAGAACTTTCTTCCTGTGCCACTGTGCAAGAATTGACCCGAACTAAACAGGGACCATTTACACTAGAGGAACATGCTCTTCGTGAAGACAAATGGACAATTGATGGAATAGCACAATCCCTAGAGCGCTGCATGCCTCTTCTCTCAGTAGAACCTTCTGTTAAAAAATTAAAAACTGAAGATTCTAAAGTACAAGCTGCAAGCTCAGAAGACAAAACAATAAGTCAGGTTAGGGAAAAAGATGGAGTTATTGGAACATCTTAAGATTGGACTGGGATTGTTATGTTTTCCTGGTTGAATTTATAATCTTTTATGTGCAAAACAACAAGCTGCATTGTTAAAAAAAATAATTCTCTCTTCTCTGTCTCTTTCTTTCTCTCTCTCTCTCTCTGCATGGAAAAAAAGTCCGTAATTTCTTATTTCTACAACATGCTGTTCATCTGATACATTGCATTATAAATGGGTTTATCAGTAATCTAACTTCTTTGCTATATCCTTAAATGATCTTTTAGAATGTTTTTGTGTTATCATATTGACAATAAAAATTTTAAAATTTCAGAAAACTTAATTTTCTGAATTTAGTCACTCATCAGTAACCTACACCAATAAATAAGTTAAATGTATTTTCTAATCTAATGAAAACAAAATTATTATTGTACTTTGTTTTCATTAATTCAAATTTATTTATTGGACTATCCAGAGAAATTTTGTTGATAATCCACTGAAGACAATATCATGCTGAATTGTTTTTTAAACAGAGCTTAAAGTGGGCCTTTATGCAATTCATTTGCTTCATGAACGTAATTTTGGGGAATTAATCATTATAAAGAAATATTACTTGGATAAGACTATATCTACCTATAACAATATATTTGTTAGTTTAAGGCTAGGTACCAACCAGATACAATAAATATCTGTAAATGGACTCTAATTATAATTACCTACTGCCTTCATTAATAGGATTAAAATAGGTAATGTACTCTTTATATTTATCGACTCGGATGATTATTCCATGAAAATAAAAGATAAAGCAATTAGGGCTTATTAATTGGTAGGTAGCAAAGGGACTCTTGTGTTAGTGGTTGAATCAATGATACAGTAGACTTGATCTACTCCAAGCCATTATCTAATGCAACATGCCCTTCATATTTTCCTTTTACGTTGGGGATTTTGGAGCAGGGAATAGGAAAGTTTTATTTATTTATTTTACTAGAGTGAAAGTAAAGTATTTATCTTTCTCTTAAAAAAAACTTTATCCCTACCTGTGACATTTTATAAAAACTTCAGTTATTGTTTTGAGTGATACTCATTGGCTTTGACTAAGATGGCTTTATTACATTTCCAGTTAGACTTCTGCTCTAAATAAGTCTTGATTATTATGCTTTTTTCATTGGGTTATACTGAGAGTCCCCCAACTCTTTCAACCACTGCAATTGCATAATTTAGAAAGTATAGTCACTAACCAATATTCAAGTTTATGGGTACTAGGGACTTCATATTTTACTTTATAGGAAAGTATAACGTATTATTCTGTCTTTAATATAGTCTCTCTTCACATTCTTATAGTTCAAAAGCAAGACCATTGAAAATTTCTCGAGATAATCATTTTAAGTTGTTTTATCCTCTAAAACATTTGATTATAATTCCACATTAAAAAATACAAAATAAAATTAATTTTAATTGTAGTTAATCTAACATTTGCTATAAAATAGACATAATTGTTTTGGTAGACTGTATCCCCATATACAGAGTATAATAACTCATGTTTAATGAGAAGGTTTTTTTTAATTAATTTTTTCAAAATTAGGTATTTCTTTTCTCTCCTTGCTCTCCACTAGGGAAACAAACAAACCACCCCTTTTTTAAATGAGTATGCATAGTCAAAAAAATTCTCACATAGGCTGTGTTAAAAAATGTGTATCATTCTATATATTTAGTCTTACCTCCTTTTTGTCAGCAGGTAGGTAGCGTTCCTTATCATTGGTCCTCTGGAATCTTAATCATTGCATTTATCAGAGTTAATGAGAAGTTTTTATGCCACTTGGTTTCACATACAGTGTTAAAAAGAAATGGTTTTTTAATGATACTTTAATTGTAATAGCAAAATGATTTTTGAACTTCAAATTAAAAGTTTGTAATTTGAATTTAAGGAAATTTAATGCCCTACAACTTGTGAAAACTAGTGGAAATATATGTATTTTAATGACATTATAATATCGATTCATGTAGTTACTGAGTTCAAATGATATTTTTCCTAATGTTGAGGTGACAGGTAATTGACCAGTTCTATTTTATAAATTTCAGTGTATAAAATGACATTTAATTGTTTTATATTCTTCTGGTCATTTTGCAAAAATGAACCAACTAATTTAGTAGTTCCAGAGTCTCATGTATATATTTCAATTATATATTTTCAACTACATTCTTTCCAATCTTCTCCTTTCCTTTAAAGAAAAGATTTTAAATTTATAATGAGTAAAAATGGTAAAGGATTCTTTTGTATTTACTTTAAATCCATAAAGTCTTGAAGTTGAAAAAAGGATCTTGGAGGTCATTTAGTCACTATATTGTGAGTAGGACTACCTGCTACAGCATTCTGGACATTCACTTGAATGGCCATCCAGCATTCACTTGAAAGCAATCCATTCCATTTTTAGACGACTCTTTACTAAGAAGGTTTTCCTTAATTTAACTTGAAATCTCCTTCCACAAACTCCTCCCATTTACTATTATACAGGTTGAAACCTTCTTTAAAATTTAAAGACAACTATTATGTCTGTCTGCTTCTCTCTTCTACCCTTCTTATCACTAGTCTTCTCCAGATTTGTCAATATACTCTTAGTTCCTTAAAGCAATACATAGTTTCAAGTCTTCATCGTTTTGTTGCTATCCTTTTATGTCATCAAGCTAGTCCGTATCTAACATAGTGAAATTTAAAGTGAAAGGATCTGTGTTCATCTATGATCGTGTCTGGAGAATTGTGGTCTTAGGTTTTTTTGGCTGGCAAGTCACAATTAATATTGAGCTTGTAGTCCAGCAAAGCACTTAGCTCTTTCTCACATGAAATAAGTTTACTCCATCTTGTAGGCAATTTTTTATTTAATCCAAATGTAGGTCTTTACATTTCTCCCAACTAAATTCCTTATTAGGTTTGGCTTCATGTCCTAGATTGTCATTTTTGGGTCCCAGATCTGTCATCCAACTATTAAAATATTCTTTCAGCTTTGCGTTATCCACAAATATGCTAAACATCTTATACTTGGCTTCATCTAGGATATTGATAAAAATGAAAATCACTAGAAACCTCCTTCTGAATTTATATAGATCCTTCTTTGGGTCCAGTTCAACCAGTTCCTAAATCCACTTAACATCATTCTGCATACCTTCATCTTGTCCACAGGAAGAGATAGACTTTTCAAATGCTTTCCTTGGTATACTATATCAGGCATTACCTTGATTTCAATTTAGTAAGCACTACTGGTATTTCTTCCCCATCCTCAACCAAGGGATTTTTTTTTTCTTTTTCTTTTTTTCAACCATTGAGAAGGTTCTAAAATCTTCAAAGGACATTGCCCTGGCAGCTCTATGGCCAACATAAACATTCCTGATATAAAAGGTTTTTCAAAATATGCTCCTAACAGAAAAATCCCACAGCGTTTTATTTGGCATTTTTAATTTCTGCTATTCCTAAAGGGTTTGTCTCACTTTCTTTTGACAATTATAAAGAATGATATCAAAGAATCTCTGCTTATGATGTTTCAGATTGATTATATAGTAAAGCGTTAACAATTTGCAGTTCCCTGATTTAAAACTCAGTTTAACAAACTTTTAATGCCCATTGTGTGTAAAGTGCTGGGGACACAGAGACAAAAATATAATTGTCCTTGTCTTTAAGGAGCCCCTGTTAGAGGATACACAAATCCAACGTTTATTTGAAGTTATGCCAAGTTATTTTAAGAGAAAGCTGGGCTAAAATTATACTGTTACTTAGTATGGGCATATCTCAAACTAGGCAAAGTTTTATAACAGAGTCACCCTTGTAGTTAAGTCTGTTCTCCATTTGGGTTGTTAAATATCACAAAGAGATGGTTAGTGCTTTATACCAAAAGGGTAATTTACCCTAATCTTACCCCTGTTACAAAGATATATTCGCAAAGATACCAAGTTCATCAATCCACCTAAACTGCTTCTCTAAGATAAGGGAAAAGAGACTAGGGGAAGCAAATGCCCAGCTCATGTAAGTTAAAAGTCACTGCCTATTGAATTTCCTACTCTAGCCTTTTTAGTTTGTTTTTGCATCTCTGGCACTACCATAATGCCTTGGACATTAATTAGATGCCTAATAAATATTTGTTGAACTGAACATAAGAAGGAAAAGTTAGGGGAAATTTGGCTTCTGAACTCCTAGATTCCAGGTCTAATCAATAACTCATGCACTTTGCACAAGGGCCCAGTATTTTTCCTTCGCTCTATTCTTTTGCATGTCTGTGTACTTTCCTCATCTGTGGGCAATAGCTTTGGGGTTTGTTTATTTATTTATTTGGATAAATAATTGCTAAACTTGGGTTTTACTTTTCACTAAGCAGCATAGCCTAGCCCAGCCCTCTACCCATGATTATATTTTCAGGCTTCTATAAAGACATTTAAAAATTTTATAGTCTAAATTTTGATCAACTTCAAACATAGCTTCTATATATGTTGTTGCTTAGGGAACTAACTATCCCATGTGACCTTGTTTCACCTGGTGCTAGAGGCCTTTCTTCATGGGGCCAATTAATAAATGAACCTTTTATTTATACTCAAAGTTGATGTCATTGGTTGACTATCAATAGGTAGTCATTTTTTCCTAATGTGAAGAGCTTGCCTTGATTGATCTACACCCATACCTTGCTGCATGTATTCATAAGAAAGTTAAATACAGGTGAAATCAGAATCACATAGAAAAGATCCGAGCAGCCATCTAATTCAACCCATACACAAAAGGAACTCCCGCTGTATAGCCTCTTCATGAAAACTTTCCATGAAAGAGATCCCACCACCTCTTTTTTGAAAATAGTATTTTTTTTCAATTACATGTAAAGATAAAATTTAACATTGATTAAAAAAGTTTTGAGTTCCAAATTTTTCTCCCTCCCCTTACCCCTTCCTAAAATAGTAAGCAATTTGATATAGTTTTTATATGTTCAATCATGTAAAACATATTTCCATATTAGTAATGTTGTGAAAGAAAAAAACAGACCTAAAAGAAAAAAAAACACGAAGAAAATAAAGAGGAAGTAGTATGCTTTGATCTGCATTCAGACTCCGTCACTTCTCTCTGTGTATGTGGATAGCATTTTCCATCATGAGTTCTTTGGAACTGTTTTGGATCGTTGTATATCTAAGAAAATCTAAGTCATCCTTAGTTGATCATTGCACGATGTTGCTATGTATAATGGAGAACCCATCACCCCTTGAGGCATCCCATTCCATTTTTGGGAAGCTTTAATTGTTAGGGAACCTTTTCCTGACATGAAGCCTCAGTTTGCCTTCTTGCAGGTTCAGCCCAATGTACCTGGTTCTGCATTCTGGGGCCAAGTATAATCCTCTCTTGTGACAGTTTTCAAATATTTAAAGACTACTGTGTCCTCCCTGAGTAATGTATTCTCCAGGTCTGTGATAGCAGAGTCAAGAGAAGATTGCTTGTGATCATGTATAGGTATTTGTGCCATGAAACTTGAAGAGAGAGTATTTAAAATGCCTAAGAGAGCCTTACCCTTGTTAAAGACTTCAGAAATGTCCATTTATATTATTGTGCCCATGATAAGTCATTCTGACCTATTTATTAGCCAGTTTCTAATGATTTTGTACTGAACAACAAGTTGTTAACCTAGTTGTAGTTGCTTTGCATAAATATACTTTTATTTATTTTTAAATTTTTTTTTTGCTTTTTTGATGAGGCAGTTGGGGTTAAGTGACTTGCCCAGGGTCACACAGCTAGTAAGTGTCAAATGTGTGTGGCTGGATTTGAACTTGGGTCCTCCTGACTGCAAGGCAGGAACACTATCCCACTGTGCCACCTAGCTGGCCCAATATACTTCTATTTCTTTAACATTTATTTTCCAATTTAGATTTTTTTCATTAATTCATGTCACTTCTATTTGTCTGAATTAGTGAGGATTTAGTTTATCATTTTGGATTTTCTATTCAGATAAGTATACATTTTGAGCCAGATGGAATAGTAATGAATGAGTCACTGCAAAGCAAAAGGTACTTTATTTCAGGCATACCATGCTTTTTGTGGTGCAAGGTATAAGAGTGCCAGGCCTGGAGTCAGGAGGACTCATTTTCCTGAGTTCAAATCTGGCCTGAGATATTCTTAGTTGTGTAACCCTGGGAAAGTCACTTAACTCTATTTGTCTTAGTTTTTTCATCTGTAAAATGAGCTGGAGAAGGAAATGAGAAACCACTCCACTGTCTTTGCCAAGAAAACCCCATATGGGGTCAGACACAACTGAATAACAACAGTTTCAAAAGAATAACATTACAAATAGTTAAGGGTTTTATGCATTGAAATTGTTACAATGACTATAGTTTAATAGGGTTATCCTGAAGCTACTTTAAATTAAGTCATTTTAGCAGATCTAGTTTGCCTTGCTAACAATAAGCTTACTTGGTAAACCATATTTTAATTTTCTGAGTTAAATTATTTGGAAACAAATAATGCCTAGATGTCATTTGAAATAGCTGAAATTGACATTTTATTTCTTTTCCAAGTTCAAGATTTTTAACTGTAGCAAGTTGTGTAATTGGTATGTATGTGTGAGCCGATTCTGTTCTCTTGGTTCAGTACCCACTCACTGGAAACTCCTAATTAGATTCAGCTTTTGAAACTAACTTAAACTTCATATCATAATAAAGCGACACAGTTTAATTAGATTAGAGGAAGTGTGGTAATATCAAAAAGCATCAAACAACGATAATGTAATGCTTTCATTTCAATCCAGTATGATCTCATCCACCCTTAGGCTAAAGTCTGATTTTCCCCTACCTCTGCTTCATGTATCCATAGGCGTGGAGGGCAGGCAATTCCCTTACCTCCTTCTAAACTTGCTTTTTTGCCACCACAGCACGATAAGGGAGTAATAGTTCAGTCTCTTATGAAAATGGCTAGGGAAGCTGGCAGCAGCTCCTGGGGCACACTGGCTCCTCATGCTGCACTGATCATTGATTGC